GCTCCCTGAACTGACTCACTGTCGGGTTGAAGAGGCACCAGGTTGGGCAGAGCAGCAGAACTGCCTCCTTTCAAGCAGCTGGCCAGGATTCACCAGGAACTGCACCACCAGGCTGCCCTCATATCAGTTCTGATAACTGCACATCGAACAAGTGAGATAGCTCACACACCCAGCTGAAAACTACTGTAAGGTTAACTTTCCATTACATCAGCAAGCTCATCTAATCACACCACCACATGAACACTAAGTTTTCCTACGCTGTGCACAGAAAACACATACAATCAAGACAGGATTTTTCAACTGCAGTGCAGTTACATATTAGCCTAGGCTACAGAATCATATGGTAAGGTTCTTACAAAAGAACAAAAAGGAAAGCAGAGGACACTGCTGGGCACACTAGAACTTCCTGCACACTGTAACAGAATTACACATAAACGAAATTCATAAACTGCAACTGGCCAACACTGGAAAAGGTTTGATTTAAGCTTTATGTTAAATAGTCTTGGCAATTTTGACCACCTAACTAGGTCAAGTTTCATTTTATTTAAAATTCAGTATGAATTATTACATGAGTGGCCTTTTAAATGTACAATTATAATACGAGGCAATATTTAATGCATTATTCTTCTAAGAATCTACCTGCCCATAATTCAGTGACAATCATTGGTAATAGTACCAAACTTCACACCATCTTACATTTTTCTCAGAATCAACTCCGATGACCTACAATGCTTTTTCAGACAAATGTCACTCCAGAAATTCTGCCATCAAGGACTTCAGCTGCCTTTCTGAAAGGTTTCTTTGCAATAACATCATGTAAGCATGATAGGCTGATTTCTGCATATACTGAGATTGCTTTGATTAGAATTTGATAAACTACTACTTCATAGTTCAACATTCACCAACAATGTTGAAGAGCACATCTCATAAACCTAGTTTGTATTTCTATTTTTTCTGGTCATTCTCCTGTTGTGCTTTACCCCACAGCACTGTAAAGAAGCCTCATATGGGGTATTCTCTACTTTAAGAGCACACTTCTAAAGACCACTGCCATCCTTTGATCCTTTTCGTCAAATAAAAGAGCAGTCTAAAGCAATTTTTCTTCGGGTCTCACATGTTTTGTGAGTATGATGCAATCTTTCCATTTAAAAAGCTCTAAAAGTGTCAGACCAAAACTATGAGCTGTATCTTAATATCAATCCCCCAGAGGACAATGGGTCATGGGAGGAAGCAATCTACCTAACGTTTTAATCAACCCTACCCCTGTTTGTAAGTCAATACCTTAAGTATTCAGATTAAAAAATAAGAAGCACACAATTATTAATAGCTTTAAGTAATAAGAACAGTAATAATAATAACCAAAAAAAGAAAAAAGGCAATTAAGAAAATTTGTATCTGGAGATGTTATTTTCAATGTTGACCAAAAAAATGTCTAAATCTTCTGTGCCACTAAGAAATAATTCAGTTCTATTTTAGTTTAAGTGCTTCTGAATGTAACACCCAGAGTGATATTGTTCAGCAATACTGCTTCCAAAATTATTTTCAAATGCATACTGAGCTATCACTGCGTTAAATGACAGAAACGTGGCATGAAAACAGCCACACAAAGAGCCATTTGAACATAAGATACAGAAGTATTCTGTTCCCCGTGAGTGGCTTTAAGAAGGGCTGCTGGGCAGTGACTGTGAGCAGCAGCCCTGCCAGCCCATGAGACCAGCAGGTTCCTGTAAGGCACATCTGAAGCATGGAATTGCACTGATGCACAAGAAGCAGAAGATTAAGTGGCTTTTGGGAGAAGGAAGTCCAGGACATACACCAGAACAAGGTTTAGTCAGGCGGGTGTTTTACATTGCTCTAACTCAAACTGTGTCAAAAGGTAAGTGGATACATATTGGCTTCTGAAGTGCTTATGAATCTACCAGCTACTTTTTGACTTTTAACGCCAAGTAAGGAGGCCATGGCTTACAGGAGTTTCACAGCCACGTCCACGCCATGAAACCAATACCTGATTTCACACGGCTGCTTCATTCAACTAAAGTTATGAAAGTAAATACTGACCTAATTGTTTCCTATGTAAAAACCCCACAGAACAGAAAGGAGCCACGTGATGACATTACAGAGGCATCAGTATGCAGCCATTAAACCAGGGCTGAAAAAAAAAATTGACTCATCCCTGACATGCATGAAACTCACTCTGGCAAGGTGAACAGGAAATCACTGGTTTCTGAGAGCTGAGTTCCTGGCCCCTGCAGTTGAGAAATGCCTTCACCTCACTTGTGCCACCATCCCCACCTCTGCAAGACAACTACTCCACAAACGTCAGCTCAAGACGCTCAAACCCTCCCAGGGAATAGTTTGTGACCGCCTACAGTTTAACACTACCCCAAATTTGAATTACTAATTTAAACGAGGCTTAACTAAACTACTTAAATGGTGACTAAATGCCATCCTAATTACAGAGCGCACATTTGCAATTAACTAGCTCATTTCAGGAGCTGGAGCATCAACTTACAGAAAACAGAACGTCACTCATACATACATACACATCTCTGGTCTAGACAGGTTAAGTGAATAGTCTAGCAATAAACTGAAGCTAAAAATGTGTGTCATACTACAGTCCTCTCTCCTACACTTTCTCTCTGAGCCAAATTTTCCTTCACTGACTTTATGCTTAAATTGAGGTTTTGAAACTGTAGCCATTGTATTTTGTAACTATTTGTTGTCTTAATGGGTATTTTAAGGTAGTAATAAAAAAAACTACCACAGCAGCACTGAGTTACTAGAACTGAAGAAAATAAAGCACATGAAGTATGAGCCTGCCCCACAAAAGAGACCAAATACCACTAAGTTGACAGCCAGTTAAAGAAAAAAAAAATTCTGCTGCGCACATTTAAATATTTCTATGCAAGAAAAAAGCAAAACCTCTTGTATTTTAGCCTACAAAGCAGACAAAACTGACCTTTAATTCCTGCACAAGATAAACAATCAGATTTGTATCCACATACACAGAAACACACATGCACTGAGTACCTATCTAAAGAACTGTTTTAACTGAGACCAGTTACTTGTCCTTATGGGTAAGCAGAAGGAAATGCTGTGAGTTATTATCAGTGATGGATGGCATGCACAGTTCTTGTTACATTTGCTTCAATTTCAAAATGACTTAAGTAACAGCCCTTTCTTCCATAGTAGCAAACACAGAACAGGTGACACTCTTGGATTCCAATTCAGGTTTCAACACAGACAAGGTAGTAATTAACATTTAAAGCAATGGCTTCTTGAAACCCACACTCCTAAGGTAAAAATTTCTATTTATTGATTTTTGTTTTTCACGAGTCAGCTTAAAAAAAAATGCAGTCATCCAAAGTCAGATTTAATTACTGCTCTTATGTTCACAAATCAACAGCTAAAAATGCTAGTAATCCCACAAACTAAGAAGGTATCAAGTGAAAGATGCTAAACACTACACAAAAATACATCTTTCCTTATTTCCTAATATTTCTGCAAGTAAAAACTTTATTATAGATATAGAATCATAAAGAAGAAATAATACTAGTTTGATACCTCAGTGAAAGGTCTAAACATAAATTACCATTTAGCACTGAGCAGGTATTACTACCAAAAAAAAAATCTCACTTCCATAAGAAGGTATGGTCTACCTTTTAAGCCCATACACAGCAGTGGCCCATCTAACTTTCATGGGAACTAAACCTGCATATTTTACATAAACTGACATTTTTTTGGTCATGATATTAATACAGACCATAGGTATTTCTGCATATAGAAGCATTTCTTTCACTGAGCACAACCTGAAACCACTGTCAGTCAGAGGGAGATTACAATGGCCACGAAAAACATTCAGTGAATGGGTAGTTCTGACAGTCTTCTGTTCAGCGGTATTTCATCTGCAGGAGGCGGCACACAAACTGCACGCAGAAGATTCCTGAACGCTGTCTTTTCTTGGAATTACATTTGCACATAACTGGTTCAGCATGAAGCCAACAACTCCACGCTGAAATAAGTTTAGCTGCTTTTCCTTAAGTCGCCCATTAAAACAACCTTCGTGCATAATCGCCCCTTTTCCCAGCCACCCTCCTGAAACACTAAGCACCCCTCCAATTTATTCTGCAATACTGCTTCGCTAAGCGAGCGGATCAAACAGAAACTGCTCAAAAAGGCGTTTCACACAGACCCCCGGGGCAGCTGTGCGAAAATTGCAATTTCTACTTTTTCTCCTTTATACAAACGCCCGGCCGAGGAGCCCTGGGGCTGCAGGGGCACGGCGGGGCAGCGCGCCCACAAAAGCCAGACCCAAGCGAGATACAGCCCTCCAAAAATGCCCTAGAGAAGAAGGAGGGGGAAAAAGAAAAAAAAAAAAAAAAAGGAAAAAAAGTGGTGGGGGGGGAAGGGGCAGAAGGCAGCGAGCGAGGCGGGCAGGCGGCTGGCGGGCTCCCGCTGCCACACTCGCTCCCACCCGCGCACGGGCGCCCCCTTCCTTCCTTCCCCCTCCTCCCGCGATTCCAGTCCCACCCGCTCCTCTCCCGCATATTTGAAAGGCTGCTTTAATTCCTGCAGCAGCAAATTCCTCCCTCCCAAATTTGGGCGCAAAAGGAAAAAAAGGGGAGGAGGGACCGGGATGGAGGGGGAAGGGGAGAAAAGCGAGGGAGAAGAAATATCTCCGGCATTCTGGCCGCCCGGCTCCCCCAGCCCCGCGCAGGCATTATACAATTTCGGCGAGGCAGGAAGTGACTGGGGGGTGGGAGGGAGAGGCGGCGGTGAGGGGGGCTGGAGCCGCATCTGAGCAGGAGGACGGGGAAGGCGGGGGGCGGCCAGAGGGACGGGGGGCCCCGCGGCGGGGCCGCGGCCATGGGAGCCTCGGCGGTGCCCGCTGTATCCCCCCGGCGCCGCCACTCAGCCCACCCATCGCGGAGACCCCACGGCCGCAGGCTCGCACTGTCACGGCCCCCCCGCCACGCCTCGGCCCCGGGCTAGAGACTCACCCATGGCGCTGGCCGGCGGCGGTGCGGCTGCCGCTGCTGACGCTGGGCTCCGGCTGGCTGCTCGTCCTCCCGCCCTGCCTCCCTCAGCCGCGGCGGCACCGAGCGGGCCGCCCCCTCCTCCCCGAGCGCCTCCCGCCAGCCAACCCGGCGGCGATTCTCCAACGCCCCCTACGCCGATTCCGCCGAGAGGCCGCGGCCCTTCCGCACACAGCGCCTACGCGCTCCCGCGGCCGGACGGACTTAGCGGCTCCGCTCCCGCCGCCGCCTCTGCCTGCTCCTCCTCCTTCTCCCTCGCCGCCTCCGCCCAGCTCCTCACACGCTCCCCGCCCGCCTCTCCGAGCACACGGCGGCTTCCGGCTCAGCCCCTCCGCCCGGCGCTGTCCCCACGTCTCTCCCCCGCCCCTCCCAGCCCGGGGTCGGTCACGCTGTTATTTCCTCCCGCGCCGCGCCGGAGAACTGAGGCGCCGCTCGGAGGCCATTTTGGAACCGGGCGCCCGCTGCGGGAGCGCGAAGCCGCACGGCGGGCGGGCCGGGCTCTGCCCGGATCAAAGATGTCCGCCGGGCTTGACGCGCGGGGCGCGGCGGTCGCGCCGCCCCCGCCTTGCGCCGGGCCGTGCTCGGAGCGGGGCCCTGCGGCCGCCCACACAGGCGGCATAGGGAGAGGCCGGCGGGAGAGCGGCACCGGGATGGGCAGAGCGAGCGAGGCCCTCGGCCGCTCTTACCCCGCGGAGCCCCGGGCTGCGGCACTGCGGCGCTCGACTCGCTGCTCCCCCCACATAGCGCGACTGGGTGCTCAAGTCCCCCGAAATGAATGAGGACTCAGTGAGAAAACACCAACCAAAACACACCCAAACCATTTGAATGCAGCTGTTGGCAGGCGCTAGGTGAAATTTTTCTAGGGGGCCGAGTGGATGCTTGGGTGCCCGGGAATGCCAGAGCCAAGCCCTGCCGCCGGAGAGCCTGCCTCGGCTCCTCGGCAAAGCTGCTGCCAGCCCAGAGAGACGTCCTCTGCAGTACAGAAGTGACATGGGAAAGCATGGGTTCCAAGAGAGGCAGAAACGTGCCTTTTGCCTTTCCTCTTCCAGTAGAGCACTCAAAGCTGTATTTCCGTTTTACATTTTGGACAGGTATCTACCCAAAGGCTCCAAGAGCCTTTTAAAATCTGGGATATTTTATGCCCAAACTGGAATACTGGAGATGTATTCATGATGTGCTGTTTGAAACTTAGCATACTTTCTTTTGTGTCAGGGATTTTCAAGTACGGTCCATTATTGGCCTTTTCTCTCACATGAGGCACAGTGCACTTCTCTAAACAGGAAAGGTGGTTAGCAAAAAGGTAAAAATACATTAATTTACTGTTTATTATATAACTTGTTGCTGCCATTATTAAAAGTACATCTTAACATTATGCCCTGGTACTGGGAGGATGAAAATAGCAATTTTCATTTCAGCAGCAAAAGGAAATTTTTCAATATTGCAATATTTCTGTAGGTAGTCATAGCCAGGCAGGCAGGAGCAACAATGAATACACAAAGTTTTTCTTTGTTTCTCACAGAGTTCCATCCAATTCTTTCCTGTCTAGTGTATGTGGGGTTTTTTGGTGCATTTGATAAACAAATACTTTTTATGACAACAAGGAAAATGCATAATCTTTTCAGAAAGGTATGCAGCCCTTCACAATGTGGTTCAGCACTCTTTAAGATCTGGAAATGTTACAATATACTGTGGTTCTTGGGTGCCCAAGGGAAAGAGATTTTTATTATCGTTGGTCACAGGACTGCCAAATGTTATCTCGTAAATCCATGTCTTTCACAATGGATGAGGTAAGAAATAACCTTTTTTTCATTCTGGTTGGTTTAGGTGGTAATGTCCATGGCAATGAGATAGAGCTACATTGCTTTTGTGGTTATTTAGATACCAAAGAGAGACTTTTTACACCACAGAAGTTGTTCACTGAGTGCAAAATATGGTCCCCACAGCTCTCCTATAAAAACACATTGTGGGAAAACAAACAATACGAATAGTACTTGTTTTCTCTCTTGTAGTAAGGGCTTCACATTGCTTAAAAATATTTATCTTGGTTTTCAAATATGTAATGTTGAGAAAATAGCCTGTAACTGACGGGGATATCTTCAAGTAGGAAGTAATGATTTTGGAGAATTCCCTTTTAAGTAAAACATTACTTTGTGTATTGATTGTTGCAAAAACAAAAGTGAGCTTGCACCTTTGAAACCTACTGCAAAACTGGCACGGGGTTAATGAGGAAGCAAGACACAAGCCAATGGGTTTTATGTGAGGTTAATGTCCCATTTTTCTGGGTTGTGAATAGCAGTGAGGGGGGGTGTCTCTTTTCATACAGCAATTCACAGGCTTTGGAAGATTCTGAAAAATTGTGTTCGTTTTGAGAAATAAAGCAAATGCAAATGAGTCCCTGAGGTTTGAAAAATACTGTGTTCTGTGTACAATATAATAAAGCCAAACTTTTTTCCATTCCTGTAGTGATCTGCTGCTCCTCTTCAAAAGCAAAGGCTTCATTAAATATGTCACTGAACTTGAAAAAACTGAACTCAACAAGTAAATTTCAGGATTCTTTAGACTGTATTTATTTGATTAAAATATGGAAGGTACAATTTTGTGACTGATTTTTTTGTAATTATTAAAAAAGCTTTGCAAAATTAAATGCAGGACACTACCTGCCATAACTCAACCCCCATCTCTGTCCCTCTTGTCCTCAGATACAGAAACAAAAGCCACTCACCTTATTTAGAAAATCTACCAACTAAGGTTGCCTCCAGGTTGGTTCCCAACCAGCCTAGCCAGTTTCAGTCTCTCCTTGCCAGTGAGACATAGGAAGACTATTTTGTTTTTGTATTTCTCTTTAATGCAAGCAGACGTGACTCACTAGGTGAATTTGCACACAGCATTAGCTCCAGCATGAGATGTGGTGGAATAACTGCACTTGTAGCCTGCTGAGTTGCTCCTGCATGGCAACTCCAATCCCTCCTGGGTTTGTAGGGCACATGGTGCATCTCCAGACTGAATCATGCTTGCTCAGTCAGTCCAAAGTATGCAGCATCCCTTGGAGCTGCTGTGCAAGTGTGACAGATCTTTGTGTACCAAGCAATGTCTTGCTGAAACAGCAGGTTTTTTTACAGCAACGGGGTGAAGTCCCAAATTCCTGCTCCTGTCTACAGGCTAACTCTTGCAAGACAGGAGGCTGAGGATACTCAATGGGGAATAATGAGCACAGCATCCTCCTTCAAACCCATCCTTAAATTTCAGATTTGTAATAGTGCTTGCCAGCATCTTGACCACTCTTTGACCCCTGCTTGTCATGTTGACCGTAAGTGTCTCTTGTGCTTGTACTGTGTTTCCTCTTGGACACCTGTTGCCCTTTACATTGGATGATCTCTTTGTAAATGCTGCCATTTTGCTTTGTTCTCTAGCACAAGAAAGAGCAGTAATACAAATGGTAACAGTAATGTGAGGCATCAGGTGTCATATCTGTCTTGTCAGTCAACCCTGTCCTTTGGGGACATACCAAGACAGTACAGTCATTTGCCTGAATAAATGTTTCCAGATTCAGGCCTGTATTAATGGCACTTTTCTATTCTCAGAGGAGGAGGGCTGTCATGAAACAACCCTTGCAAACTCACAAGCAGCACAAGTAACCAGCTAGAGGGATGGGGTACCTCTCCTGCAAGGAAAGGCTGAGAGAATTGGCTTTTTTCAGCCTGGAGAAGAAAAGGCTTCAGGGTGACCTGATTGTAGCCTTCAATTCCTGAAAGGAGCCTATAAGGAAGAAGATGGACTTTTCACTGGAGCATGGGGGAATGGCTTCAAACTGAAACTAGGTTTACATTAGATATATGGAAAAAATTATTTTCTGTGAGAGTGGTGAGGTACTGGAGCAGGCTGCCCAGGGGAATTGTGGCCGCCCCATCCCTGGAAGTGTTCAAAGCCAGATCGGATGGGTTCTGAGCAGCCCCAGTCTAGTGAAAGATGTCCCTGCTTATGGCAGGCAGTTTAGAACTAGATGATCTTTAAAAGCCTGTTTTAACCCAGGCCATTCTATTATTCTATTTTATCATTACTGCTGCATCATGACTGTCGTCTTTGGCTGCCACCTACAAGATTATTCTGCAGATACATAAATAAAGCAACATAAAGTGTTCACCTCTTGCCCCCCTTTTAAGTTTTTGCATTTGCTTTTTTTAAAATGTGCTCTGCAGCACTAGGAAAGAGCCACATTCACCAGAAGTGAATGGTGTAAAAGTTATGAACACAGGCTTCTATTGAACAATTGCTACAGGAAAAATACAGCATCTCTTGTTTTGTAGTGTGTTTACTGTATCGTCCTGGTATACATCCATTACTTCAATTATCTAAAGAAAGAGGCTTTGATAGATTACGAGCCAATGATGTGATCCTTGTGAGAGGCACACACATGCACTTATTGTTTAAGGTAGAAAATGGTTGCTTTGTGCAGTTCTAGTGGTGTAGCAGGGAATATAGCTCAGTAGAAGCAGGAAGGCAGCCTAACCCTTAGCCCCACACTCACACTAACAATTATTACTTCCTTAAGTGAGGTGAGGTACAGCCTTCATGGCAGTTTCCTTCATCCATGTGAAAGACTCATGTCTTGGGAGACATAGGAGGTTTCCAGTAGTGTTAAGCTATTTGAAAAATGCACCATCTAATGCATTGTTTGTACAGGAGTCACAGATGCAAGCTGGTGAGCGGACAGATTGAAAAATACATTTCCTACTCCAGGGAATCAGAGCCTTGAGCTAAGGCCCCTCTCACCCTTCCAGCCCTCCACTTGCAGGCAGTGGCAGCAGCAACTGCTGGTGACCAGGAGCAAGGCGATTGTGTGTGCCACGTGTCCTGTAATTCCAGTTCTCCATTTGATTATCTGTTAATAAGTAAACCCCACTGGGGTTGGGCAGGTCTGGGTAGATCCTTGCGAGGCTTTCCCTGTAGCCAGCTGTGCAATCCTTAAGGAGCAGTGCTGCAGCTGAGCGTGGCTGATGGGCCGCTGTGTCTGAGCAGGGCACCAAGGGGCTGCTCAGGCCTCCGGGCAGCTGGGCTCGCTGCCTGTTTACATTAGCAAGTGCTTCCTAGCCTAGAATAAGGTACTGCTGTCACACTTTGCATATTAGATTAGGGGGAAAAAATACTTCGACATGCAATGCAATGTGACATTTTGTTGCCTTTTTTTTTTTAATTTCAGGAAAGAAGTTATGCTTTCCCAAAGAAAAATGTTTTTTCTTAAAATGAATTAATGAGCTAAAAATTAATTTCCAGCATAAACACTACAGTGAGTTTTTTAAAATAACAGAAGAAAAATATTAGATAATAAATCAAATATTACAGAATTAATTAAAACATCAATTTTGTATGTACAGTAGTCAGCTCTTTATTCTCTTTATTCATATCAGGACATTGTTTCTATAAAAAGTAAAGTGAATGACAGGTTCTGATGGGAAACAAGTACTGTGTACCCTGTGCCACTGTGGCCCCAGCA